CCCCCGATTTTATAGAGTAGGATTCTGAGGCACCGAGAGTCACGGACAAGCTTGAAATGACCTTGAAGTTCAATGTCTTCATTACACAGATGAAGAAACTGAGGTTCAGAGAGGGAGGGTCATAATGTATTGGTCTGTCTGTCCAGCTGAGACTTAGCAAAGCTGAAGGTAGGAGGGGGGCAAAAACCATCTTTGAAGTATAAAAGTTATGAAAGAAACTTTCTACATCTTAGAAAGAGGCTGAGGTCTGAACAGCTCTATTGCATTCAGGGATCGGGTGTGGGTTGGGCACGTGCAAAGACCAGCGAGATAATGGACTTGCCCCTCTGGCACACACTGGACTCAAACCTTTGTCTCTAGCCTCTCATCTTCATAAGACCCCACTGGGAGTCTGGGAAGTGAACCTGGCTGAGTCAGGGCTGATCACCACGAGTAAAGGAGGGTCTTTCCTTGGGGGAGCTTGCTCTGCCAAGAAAGCTTGTCAAAAAGAAGAGTCTAGACTTCTCTCATTCCCTGCCTGGAGATGACAAACTTCTGATCCGAGGTTCTGAGGGAGGCAGAAGAGAGGCTTCTGCCAGTCACAGGCTACAGGTTCTTGAAAAGAGCCCTGGAACATTCTAGCTAAAGAGAGTGCAGTAGAGCTGGTCAATGTAACTACCCACTGAAGAGTGAGTCCAGACAACCTACCTGTCCCACAAAGATGCCACACCCTGTGAAGAGCCCGGCAGCTGGGGAGTTTGACAGCAGCTGCCCATAAGATCACGGAATCAGAGCTGGAAGTGACCTTGGAGGCCACCAAAACCAGACGGTATGTAGCAGAGGTGGGATTTGAACCCATGGCTTTTGACTCTAAGGGTCACCTAGGTGGCGCCATAGTGCGTAGAATGCTGGAACTGGAGTCAGGAAGACTCATCTTCCCAAGTTCAAATCTGGCCTCAGACCTAGCTGTGTGACCCTGGACAAGTCACTTAACCCCTAATTGCCTCAGTTGTAAAATGAGCTGGCAAACCGCTCCAGTATCTTTGCCAAGAAAACCCCAAATGGGGTCATGGAGAGACAGAACATCTGAAAGGAATGAACAACTTCTGATTCTAAAGGCAGTCTGACAAATAGTCTCCCACTCTTTGATTGAAGAACTCTAGCAAGGCCAGGACTCTTTTTTTTTTTAAATATACCAAGGATCATTTGTTCGCTCATTCATTCATTCATTCATTCAGCAAGCATTTAAGCACCTGTACTTTTTTTTTAAGGCAATTGGGGTTAAGTGACTTGGCCAGGGTCACACAGCTAGTAAGTGTCACATGTTTGGTCTGAGGCTGGATTTGAACTCAGGTCCTCTTGACTTCAGGGTCGGTGCTCTATCCATTGCACCACCTAGCTGCCCCAGCACCTGTACTTATTAAACATCTCCTAGGCTCCAGGTGCTATGCAAGGTACTAGGGATAATAATGGCTAGCATTTACATAGCACTTTAAGGTTTGCAAAGCACTTCACAAATATTATCTTATTTGATCCTCACAACCACCCTGGGAGGTATGTGTTATTATTATGTCCATTTTTAAGATAAGAAAACTAAGGCAGGCAGAGGTTAAGTGACTTGCTCAGGGCCATACAGCTAGTAAGAATCTGAATCTAGATTAGAACTCACGTTCAGTGCTCCATCTACTGTGCAGCCCCCTAGTGGCCAATGCTGTGTCCCCTTATATTGTGTGCCCCTCAAGGGCAGGGGACAATCTTTGGCCTTTCTTGTAACTCCAGAGCTTAGCATAGTGACTGGCATACAGTAGGTGTTTAAAAATGTTTATTAACTAATTGACTATCAATTTTGTTGAGTCATTTCAGTTGTGTCCAACTCTTCATGACCCCATCTGGGGTTTTCTTGGCAAAGATACTGGTTTGACATTTCCTTCTTCAGCTCATTTTACAGATGAAGAAACTGAGGCAAAGAGGATTAAGTGACTTGTCCAGAGTCACACAGCTATGAAATGTCTGAGGTCACATTTGAACTCAGGTCTTCCTGACTTCACGCCTGGCGCTCTATGCACTATGGCACCCCCTAGCTGCCCCCAATAATACATAGAGACAAAATAGTCTCGGCCTTCAGGGACTTTACATTCTATCAGAGAAATACAATATGTATAATTGTTATGATAATTAAATACAAAATAGACACAATGTGGCCACCATGGTATAGTGCAGAGTAAGGTTCAGAGAGGGCGCCAACCTGCACTGGTAGAGTGAGTGTCCTTACCTGGGAGTTCCTAATATTAACAAAATCCCTAATACTATAAATAGAAAGTAAATTTTTTTTTTGAAGTGGGAGAGAGTGTCATTAGTATCAGGGGCAGAAGATCAGGAAAGGTCTTGAGTGGTGGGAGGCATTTAACTTCAGCTCTGAAGAAAGCTGGGGATTTTAGGAGGTAGAGAGATAGGTTAGAACATTCCAGGCAAGGGGGCCAGGGAGATGGAATGTTGTAGGTGAGAGAAAAAGCCAGCAGGCCTGTTGGGGTATCTCAGGATAAGAGGGATAATAAAGATCCAGGGATAACAATCTTGTCATCTCCCCACCTCCAATTTTGCAGATAAGAAAAACTTGGCCCAGAAAGGAGAATGAGGCTTCCCTGGTCATAGGAAAAATCAATGTCACTCCTCTCCTCTCCTCCCCCTCCCCCTTCCCAATTTTCTGCAGTGAGGAGCCTCAAACCTTCAGGTGGGGGAGGGTCCCGTGATGGGGGTGTGGAGAAGAAGGGGCACACTGAAGGTGGGGTCGAGGATGCTTCCTGCATGGGGAAACGTCCAGGCAACAACATAAGGACACCTTCACTCTGGGCTCAGAGCTTAAGGGGGACAGGGTGGGAGCCCACTGGTCCACAACCTTGGTGACTTGCTAGGTATGGTGACTTTGGAGCCAGAAGATCCAGGTTCAAATCTAGCCTCTGACATTTACTGTCTGGGTGATCTTGGACCCAGTGACACATTTCTGGGCCTCACTTTCCTCATTTATAAAATGGAGATAACAATAGCACAGCACCCACCTCCCTGGGCTGCAATGAGATACATAAGGCATTGCAGACTTTAAAGTGCTATAGGAATGCCAATGATTACTGTTATTCAGCTCAAAATCTACATCTGACATTTGTATTACATATAACCCTGACCTGAAAGTGGCCCAGAGTCAGCTAAGTCAGCCCTAGAGGGCAGAATCCTAGTTCTAACAATGGGTAGAAGCTTACCTAAATAAAGAAAAGATTTTTGACATTCAGAGCTAACTAGAATGGGTCAGAGGCAGTGAGATATGCATTATTAGAGGCTCCTATCCCACCCATGACACTTCGTAACTGTGTAACCCTGGGTAAGCCACTTACTCACTGGGGCTCAGTTTTCTCATCTGGAAAATAGGAATGATAGCAGTATGTATCACATAGGGTTGGCACGTGGCTCAAATTTAAGAAGAGCTCTGCAAATTAATTCCTTACCTATAAAATAAGAGTAAGATGTATTCTGCCTATCTCAAAAATCGTTACGGGGAAAATGCCTTGTCACCCTTCAATTGTCAAACCAATGTAAGTAACTGTAATGATTAGCCCTTCACCTCTTTCACAGGACCACAGACAGACTCCTACATTGGAGCTGGAAGGACCTCAGACGCCATCTAGTCTAGATCCCTCCTTTTACAAATGAGGAAACTGAGTCCCAGAGAGTTGAAAGGGCCGCCCCAGAGTCACCGTGGGTTAGGATTTGGACCCAGCTTCTAAGGCTCCAAATTCAGCTTCTTTCCACTGCACTCTTCCCCCTCCACTGCGTTAAAATGAGAAATGACTCCTGCCAAACATGGTTTTCAGAGCTTTGGGCTCAGAGACCAAGCATCCGTCACCTGAGGACAAATGAGCTCTCATTCGAATGCCAGGGAGTCTCTGTGGCAGACCCAAAGGACAGAGGACTGCGAGTGGAGTCTGTGAATAATTCCCCTGTTGACAGATTGCTATTGTCAAAGCCTAAGAGTCTTGGCTAATGTCCTCAGGAACAAACCTCGGGCTGATCAGACATGCCCTGGGGGATGTGCCCCCCATCATTTGCATTCCAGAAGGCAGGGGTCTGGCACATTCAGCCTATAGGCTGAACATCTCTTCTCTAAGGGCATTGTTGGACAATTGTAAGAAGGGGGTGCAGAGAGAGAAAGAGACAGAGAGACACAGAGAGAGGAGGGAGGGAGAGACACACTCAGAGAAAGAGAGACAGATAGACAGAGACAGAGAGAGACAGAGACAGACAGACAGAGACAGAGAGAGACAGAGAGAGGAGGGAGGGAGAGAGAGACACACAGAGAAAGTGAGAGACAGACAGAGACAGAGAGAGACAGAGACAGAAAGACAGAGAGACAGAGTCAAAGACAGAGAGACAGAGAGGAGGGAGGGAGGGAAGGAGGGGGAGGAAGGAGGGAGGGAGAGAGAGAGAGAGAGGGAGAGAAATTGACATCAGCCCAGAAACAGACATTCACATTAAATATTCCTCTCCTTCTCTACTTTATATTTGGGGAGCCAAAGAGACTCGCTTCAGAGCGAGTGCATTTCTGTTGTCTAAGGCACCCTCATGGGCAGTTGGGGTGATGAAAAAGATTTGAATGCCTATAAACAGAATCGGAATATTGGAGGGTGGTGAATGCAGAGATAATTACTCCCAGCTTCAAATGCCCTTCATTATTAATAATCTGCTCCCCTACACTGGACCCAAGAACTGGCTTTGTAGAAAGACTGCTGTGTGGCCCTGACACACCGTTTATGCAGTTAGATAATGGGGGAGCCAGTCTCAGGCTCAGTCAGGAAGCGGAGCAGCCAGTGATGAGCCGTGGCCGAGTGGGCTTGTCTTCTTCGGTGCCTGGCTTTTGCCAAGGAAGGCAGCAGGCAGAGGCTGCCAGCTTCTGGGTGCCATCACTAGTCGCTCTCTCCTCCTTACCCCATCCCTTGCCTTCCTCCTCATGCCCTCAGATATCAAGGACTTACTTGAGCTGTCGGGGTTCACAGTCCACGCCTGGCAGCAGGAGCCTGGCGGCCTGGCGGACGTCGTCACTGTCCATGGAGAAGCTGCGTCGGTGACTAGCGTGAGCCACAGCTACCCGGATCCATTCCATCAGAGGGGGCAGCACAAGGAAGGGCCTGCAAGGGACAGGAGGTGGAAATGGGCCATTAGATGCTGCATTTCTGAGTCAGGACCCAAGGCCCTCCAGCAGCAGCTGTCCCCTAGGCAGTCTGATGGGCAGCAGTGGCTGAGGGGCCAGGTGGCTGGCTCACTTCTCAGCCCCCAGCTCCCTTGGGGCCTGAAGCTCCATTTCCTGAGGTCCCCATGGGCCTCGGGTACGGGAGCAGAATACAGATGCGGGCTATCGGGAAGGCTGTTGATTCTGGAAAGAGCTTTTTCCTTGTGTAGCTCTGACAGAGCCCACTCCTTCCCCTCCCTCCTCCTGCCTCTTCACTGGCTTCCCAGCTGCTTCCTCAGCCCTTATACCTTTCCCTGGAAACACAGGCAGCTTGCCTCTGGCCTTGGGGCTCCCTCCCTCCCTGCCAAATAGGTTTCCTCTTTCTCTCTCCACTGATTCCATCAGCTTCTCTTCACCTTGCTCCGATTCCTTCCCAGGGCCCATCTCCCTGCTTTCTCCTACTTGCATGAGCTCTCTGAGCTCAGATTAACCAGCTTGTTGGCATAATTTGTGGGTGATAAAGCATCTAGTATCATCTCTATGACATATACACACACATACACAATTCATACACATGTATGTGTGTATCTATCCATCTATCCATCTGTCTATTCATCTATTTGTCTGTCTGTCTGTCTACCTATCTGTCTGTCCATCTGTCTATCCCATCCATCCATCTATTCTATCTATCTATCTATCTATCTATCTATCTATCTATCTATCTATCTATCTATCTATCCATCTGTCTATCTATGTCTGTCTGTCTATCAATCTATCCATCTGTCTATGTCTGTCTGTCTATCTACCCATCTGTCTGTCTGTATATCTATCTATCTATCTATCTATCTATCTATCTATCTATCTATCTATCTATCCATCTGTCTATCTATCAATCTATCCATCTGTCTATCTATGTCTGTTGGTCTATCTACCATCTGTCTGTCTATCTATCTATCTAGCATCTATCTATCTATCTATCTATCTATCTATCTATCTATCTATCTATCTATCTATCTATGTCTATCAATCTATCTATCTATCTATCTATGTCTGTGTATCTATTTGTCTGTCTGTCTATCAATCTATCATCTATCTATGTCTGTCTGTCCATCTATCTATCTATCAATCTATCATCTGTCTATCTATGTCTGTCTATCTACCCATCTGTCTGTCTGTCTGTCTGTCTGTCTGTCTATCTATCTATCTATCTATCTATGTCTCTCTATTGGTACCATGGAGAGTGCTCTGGGTTTAAAATAGGAAGACCTGGATTCAAATCCCAACACTGCCACATTCTTCCTCTGTGACCTTGGTTGGGTCAGGTAACCCCCCTAAGATGAAGGTGTCAGACAAGATGGGCTCTGAGGTCTAGCTAGAGCTCTATAATCCTATGACACTGAATCATATTACCTCCCTGGGCCTCAGTTTCCTCATCTGTAAAATGAAGATACTGGACTCCATGGTTTCTAAGATCCCTTTGGGTCCAACCCCCTCAATTTACATGCAAGGTCAATGGCTGGTAAATATTAGCCTCATACGGGTTTTTTGGGGGGATGAGGGCAGTGTTTATGTGTCATGGACATATGACAAGGAGGCAGTGAGGATTAGCAGATAGAGAGAAAGCCTCAGGGTCATAATGGTCTGGGTCCAGATCTTGTCTCTGTCACTACTGCCTGTGTAGCCCTACACATGTGGCTTAACCTCTCAGAGTCCGGGAAAACTTGGAGTCTTAGGCCAGTCAGTCTGGTTAACTTGGTCTAAGTTTTGGACCACTCAAAATCTTAATAGAATCATAGATTTGGAGCTAGAGGGAACCTCTACCGGGGCGGGGGGGGAGCCTGCAGCCTCGAGGCCACATGGGGCCCTCTAGGTCCTCAAGTGCAGCCCTTGGACTGAATCCAAGCTTCACAGAACAAATCCCCTTAGTAAAAGGATCTGTTCTGTAAAACTTGGACTCAGTCAAAAGGCTGCACTCAAGGACCTAGGTTCCCTACCCCTGCTAGGAGGCCATCTGGTCCAATATCTCCATTTTACAGATGAGGAAACTGAGGCCCAGAAAAGTTAAGTGACTTTATGACTTGCAAAGACAGCAAGTGGATTCAGGCCGCCGGACTGCAAACCCCATGCCTTTTTCACTGTACCATGCACTGGGACAATGGGAGTTTCTTACATGGATGAAACACCTGGTCTGGGCCAAAGGTACCATGCTGGGGACCACTGCTCTGCTTTGGGGTGGGCAGTTGAGGTACTGCTCCTCTGTACTCCCTGGAGTACCCAGGCTGATAAATCACAGGTCTCTGAAGCACACTTTGCCATGCTAAATAGCTAATGCGGCTCTTCAAAAGCCAATGTTCTAAGAAGGCCAGAGCAGGCCCAACCCTGGCAGACATTGCCATTATCAAACAAAGTGCCAGCCAGTTTATTCATCCTTTCATCTCTCCTTTCATGACTTTTTCTCCTTTCCTTTCTAATTTCTCAAGGCAGGAACAAAAAGTGACTTTGCTGATGTGACCCATCGTAGTTGGTGCTAGTCCAGGTGGGGGGCAGCCCCCCCCCCCCCCCCGCCTCCAGGGAACAAGAGGGAGGGAAGGGAGACTGCGACCAGAGGTCTCATTTCTTCTCAGCCCCCGGCTAGCCCTTGTTGTATGCTGATGCCCTGTGATGCAGGCCAGGAGGGCCAGGAGGAAGCTAAACTGCACCTGTCAGAGTTTGGCAATTCTGCACCGACTGAATTCCTTCAGGGCCAAGCCCCTGTCGGCAGCAGAGAGGGGAAGGAAGGACTGGCAGAGCGCCTGGAGGACCAGGAATGAGGAAGCCGCTGGGTTCTGCAGTGCTTGGGGAAGGGAAGGCCCTCTGACCTTGGCAGAGGATTGCAGGTATGGAGCTGAAGGGACATCACAGGTCTTTTAGACCAACCCCCTCTTTTTACAGATGAGGAAACTGAGGCCCAAGAACTCTAGGGCTGGGATTTGAACCTAGGTCAAATACAGGAAGTCCATTGAATCCAAGCCCAGAGGGGGGAACGAGGAGCAACGCGTGGAGGTGACAGAGGCAGACTTAGACGTGCTGAGGATGAGAAGAGGCTGTGTGACCACTTGTTGGCTGTGTCCTAGTGGGACTTCTCGGAACTGAGAGCATCCTGAAGCTCGGGTCCATGCTGCTGGCCTAAACCAAGCTGGCCAGATCAATTCAATTCAATTCCACAGCCATGCATTAACATCGTCCTAGCTGCAAGGTGTTGGGATCCCAAGACTGCCATGGAACAGTGCCCTGCCCTCAAGGAGCTTCTGTTCCACTTCCTCCTCTGATGTGGTGGAGAGAGTGGACAGGGTTCAGAAGACCCAGGTTCCAATCCAGACTCAGGCTCTTACTAGCTGTGGCAAGTCACTTAACCTGACTCAACCTCAGTTTCCTCATCTATAAAATGGGGATAATAATAGCACCTACGCCCAGGACTACAAGGATCAAACGAGTTAACACACGTAAAGCCCTTTGAGAATCTTAAAGTGCTATATAAAGGCTAGTTATTGTTATTGTTATTATTATTAATTACCGCTACAAACCTGCCACGTCCATATTATCATTACCCAGAAACCTCAAATGCCATGGATGTTTTCTTGTCCCTAGCCCTGATTTTTCTGGGTCTCAGTCAACCCTTCCTCTCAGTCTTACCTACCCCACCTTATCTTGCAGGAAAACCTTGACCTTTTATTCCAGTTAGGTAGGCTGGTTTCCTGCTCAATGTCAGCTGAAGCATTCTGTGGTTCTCCCTCCTCCTGCTATTCCTAGAGCCGAGAATACCACCCCCTCCCCTTGTCTATGTCTCTCCTGCCTTTCTGAGGCTCCACTCAACTTTGACCTAATCCACATTATCATTCTACTGCATTGCATATTATGGCCCAGACTGACTGCTCTCTGTCCCTCAGCCCACCACACCTGGCTGCCTTTAATAGCAGAGAATACACTGCCAGCTTATACAGCAGAGATATCAACAGTCAGGAAAGACAGATTACCACAGGCTGGAGTTATCACCTGTCGCAAAGACATCACACACACACAATAAATACCCATTGATTGGAAACTGCATTGAGTCTGTCTGGTTCAGGTCAACAGGACCTAGGACTGCACTCAAGTCTCCACCTTTCGTGTAATGACGTGCCTGCCTCTTGTCCAAACGTGCCTGCAGGCTACACACACACACACACACACACACACACACACACAAGCTTTATCTCATGTCCTGAGACCAATCTAGCACCTTGACAGCTGACAGGGGAATACCAGATTCCCATCATTGCATTCACCTGTCTAGCAATCTTCTTACTTAACTCATGTAACTTATGATCTGTCTTGTGGGGAGGTGGGTGGGAGGGGGAGGGGAAGAGAAGAGAGGATGTGCTGTTTAGATTCTAGGTCCTGTCTTTCCTTAGGCAGACCTATCTCATTGCTACCTGAGCCTCAGGATCTCCATCCTTTCCTCTTTAAGTGCTCTCTCTCCTGTTTTCTTCTCCTCTTTCTCTTCCTCCTCCTGTTCTTCCTTCTCCTTCCCCTCCCTCCCCCCTTCCTTCCTTCCTTCCTTCCCTAATACTCCCTCTATCCCTCCCCCCTCACACACACACACAGAGCTCACTCTGATCCTGCCCCCAGCCCCTCCCTCTCAGCATCTGCCTTTCATGTCCAATGCTGGGCTACAACCCCGCCCCCCCCCTGCACTGCTTGGATCACACAGCCCGTGTCTGATGAGTCCAGGGGAAAAGAAAAACCAGACAGTGAGAGCAAGGTTCACCTCTACCAAGGCAGATGCTGACTACTTGGACATGGAATTTTGAACCCCTGGTTTCCAGCATCGTCCTAGCTTCTCTGCAGAATAAGAAGCTGTCTCTTCTCCCTTTGATGTCACTTTATTATTTCTATCACTTCTGCCTCAATGAATCTTCGAGTTCATTAAATCCTTTACTG